GTCGTAGCAGTAGTCGTCGTCGTAGTAGTAGTAGTAGTAGTAGTAGTAGTAGTAGTCGTCCAAGTAGTTGTTAATCCAAGTAGTAGTAGTGGGAGTAGTCGGAGTATGAGTAGGAGTCGGAGAACCAGCAGAAGCAGGAGTCGTCGTCGTAGTCGTCGTCTTGGTCGCGGTCGTGGTCGGAGTAGTCGTCGGAGCATCGGGCGGAGTGCGCAGTCGGCGTGGCCGTCGTTGTCACTGTCGTCCGCGGTGTGGCATGTTTCTGGCCCGGATCAGTAATGGCCACCTTTATTGTCATTCTTGGCATCACAATTGCCACTGCTACTATCATGGAAGGTCTTCGTGCTGATTCCTGCTAACGTGCTGAAGGTGTAGCACCTCTATGACTGCACTCATGGCTGCCGCTATCATTAATCCCAACACCTACACTATGAGAGTGGGGGAATTCAGGGTTAGCAAGTTAGGATTTAGAGCTTCGGTGTTCAGCTTTTACATTGAAGGAATCTGAACCGCCGACTTGCCTGAGACAGATCTCGCAACAAAAGCTGCTTTTTGAAGAACGTGCGCATTGTAAAAATGCACACTCCTAGCAAACAAGGCACGTGATCAGCTCCTTGTGGTGGATCTTGTGTGCCTCCCGAAGCTGACGCTTAGGGTAGCACTTTAGCATTTCGGGCTTCGGTGGGTTAGGTTCCAAGCGTCCTGGGCATTGGTTTACCCTAAACCCGAAACCCTAAACCCCTAAACCTCAAACCTAAGCCCTCTTCCCTGAACCCCTAAACCCCAAGCCCTAAACCTGTAAACCTCTAAACCCCAAAACCCCAAACCCCCCAAAAAAAAACGAAACCCTTGAACCCCTGTAAGCCCTGGCCCCTTTTCAGCTTCAGGGTTCAGGGCCCTTGAACCCTCACTCCTGCGGCGAAGTTGCAGGTCAAGGTCGTCCGGACTGGAGGTTTTTAGGGTTTGGGATTTAGGGTTTAGGGTTTAGGGTTTAGGGTCTTGGGGTTTTGGGTATGGGGTTTTGGGTCTTGGGGTTTTGGTCTTGGGTTTTGGGTATGGGGTTTTGGGGTTTGGGGTTTAGGGTACCTTAACACGACTGCGACATCTGAAAAACGACGGTTTACAAAGCTTGACCACGCCCTAAACCCGAATTCCTCCACCCCAGCCCGCAAAGACACAAACCTAAACCCTCATAGTGCCTGATAGTAGTCCGGATAGTAACCCTGTGGTAACCCGCGTTAAAACTTAAAACCTAAAACCCAACCTTCAAATCTTACCAACCCCAAACTCCTAAACCCTAAACCCTAAACCCCAAACTCCTAAACCCTAAACCCCAAACTCTCAAAACTCCTGAGCCCTGGACCTTGCATCCCTAAACCACGAACCCAGAACCCCTGAACAGATGAACCCAAAGAACCCCGAAGCTTGAATACAAGGGCTGTTGGGTACCCCTGAGCTCCAAGATCGAATAAGCTTCTTCCCTGCGTCCTGTAGGGTTTAGGGTTTAGGGTTCAAGGGTCCATTTTCTACCAGGGTTTAAAGCATAAGGTTTAGGGCTTCAGGGTTGGGGAATGGGACTCTAAACCCTAAGCCCTGAAATCCTGAAACCCTGAGTTTAGGGTTTAGGGTTAAACCCCTAACCCTAAACCCTAAACCCTAAACCCTAAACACCTAAACCCTAAACCCTAAACCGCCGCGGTTTCCAGGCGAGGCACGTGGTACTTGTGCACCGAGACCCCGGCATGCCTCCACACCTCGAAGAGTTGGCGATCGGGCGGGTCCAAGGTTGGAGCTTCAGGTTTTGCCTGTAGCCGAAAAGACCTACCTTTTTAGGGTTCCTAATTATGGTTTCTATACATAGTTCCTTAAAAAGGTAGGTCGTTTCGGTTACAGGTGGGGCTTACGGTTCACGGTTTTAGGGCTTAGAGCCCAAACCCTAAACCCTAAACCTTAATGTTTAGGGTTAAGGGTTTGGGGTTTTAAGGTTCAGGTACTTGGGGAGCCGGAAACCTTTGCCCCTCATGCCTAAACTACTACACCCCAAAACCTAATGTTACACTCCACGTTCCCGACCCCTAAAACCCTGATTCTTGATTTTTAGGGCCTAAACCCTGATTTCTAAACCCTAAGTTCTGAGATTTCTACCGGATCGGGTCGGGGGTCCCGGCTTGGTTTAAGAATCTGGGGACTTAGGAAGCAGAGTTTCGGGTTCGGGGTTTAGGGTTT